AAAATCGGTATTTTGCAATTTGCGACTATATTTGTTTGGTGGTGTAAATGATTTTTGTTGGCTCTGAAAAATTGTCTCTGAGTAGGTGGGCACCTATGCCACGCACATGAATTTTTTCAGATGCTAGTGTCTTGTAGATGGATTCTCAATCTTGATGAAGTTCTCCTCCTCCTTGCACAACTTCTCCTTAGCTATGGCTTCCTCCTTCTTCAAGCCCTTCTCTCCTCCGTCCTTACTCTCTCCCAGGCTATGGCAAGCTCCCCCAACTATGGCTATGGAGTCTTCCCCTCTAGGAGGGCTAATGGGTCTCCTCTAGCCTCTCCTTCTCTCCTACACCCAGGGGGGGATATGGCGGATCACCTCCCAGGTGTCTCTCCTACCATCACTATCCTCTAGAGTCCTCTCCACTACCTCCTAGTCTCCCCTAAGCTCCTCCACTAGCATGGGCTCCTCTCCTCTCACTCCAAGTGCAAAGGTGCTCCTGTGAGCTCACTTGGGCAGCATGGGCACTCCTCATGCAAATGTGAGAGTGGCGGACTGCATCCTCAGCTTATGTAGGCTGAAACCAGCAGTCCGGCCAGCCCATGAGCCTCCCCATGAGCGTTGAGGTGAACTGAGGTACCCCCAAGGCAAAATTCCCTCACTAGGCCCTCCTGGAGGTACCTAGGCCTCTGTTTGGCCAAGTGCATACAGTCCAAGTGGTTGGTACCAACTCGGACTGCCTCTTGGCCTACCCCGGCCTCTTTTTCATTGCTCAAATGCTGCCCCCTAGGGTCCTAATGCCCAAGGGGCAGCAATACTTGAAAGAATGATTTTTTCAAGTTTCGGCCTCTTTTGAGTAGGCTGGAGCATTTTTCCATATGACGGCACGTTTTCAGCGTTGGATCTGGCTGAGATCCAAAGCCAGCAATAATCCGAGCTACCCCCTAGTAGCCCTTGCTTCAATTTTGAGCCCCTAAGTCCAGTTTTTCAATTTTTTGTGCATCTGGCTCTCTTTTGGGGCCAAATGCACTGTTTTGTCATTTTCCTTCTTTTGTTTCTTTCCATTTTGGGCTGCCACCTCATTCCGGAGCTAGCCGTTTTGAGCTGGCCCTAAAAAAACGGCTAGTTCCTCTCTACCATGAGATCTGATCTCAGAATCATGGTCCAAAAGAAAACCGGCCACTTCCTTTTTGCATTTTCTCTCATTTTCAACTTTTTCATTCAAGAGCAATCCGGATTGCAGAGATATCTCTGCAATCCGGATTGCCCTCCCTTATTCTAGGAGGGATGAGGTCACTGTTGGGACCTGCCAGTCCCTACTGTGCAGGTTCCAATAGGCCGGCACACTCTCCTCCACTCCTTTCTCCCCTTTTGTCTCATTCTCCCTCCTTTTTCTTTCATTTTTTTTTCTTTTTCTTTTATTTCCGTTGTGACAAGTGTCAAACTGCTGTGCATCCTCTTTCTAGGCCCTAGGGCCTCATTCAAGGCCAGGTTCATAGCTTTTACATAGCCGTTATATCTCGGATTCCAGTAATGGCACCCCCATGCTCCTAGGGGGCTCCATTTTGCTCCCGTTTGCCCAATTCTGAGCCCCTTTTGCTCCGATTTTCTAAGGGCAACCTTTTTTCTCATGTTGGGCCTCTCAAGGCTCTATTTTCTTATGCCTTGCTAGTCCGAGAT